TTAAGCCACTGATGGCCCAGTCAGTACTATGGTTGGGGACAACATGGGAATACTGGGTGCTGTAACTTTTTTTTTTTTTCTTCAGAAACGGGTATTTCTTTTACTCGAACCAGTGGTGGTGTTAGTAAAATTTTGATTTAATACTTAAAATTTATTTTTAACGAGAGAATTCTTTTACTACAGTATAATTGTTTCTGAATCAAAGGTCGGTATAGCGAGTTTTAATTAGTGTTTACACTAAAGGAAGTTCAAGAAAGTTAAATGTCGGGGTGTTCAAAGATCAAGTTTTTAACGAATACTGGAATAGCGTATTATACAATAAAAGCATAAAAGCCTTATACTGTATGCAAATCATTTTATAAAGTGCTAATTTTGTAACAAATTATGTCATTTTTTTAAAAATACCCTGTCGAAATTGAATATGTAAAATTCTTTTAATAAGTTTTTTTTTTTTAAAGTAAAATCGATTTTTTTTTTAACTGAAGAATATGCTTTCACAAGAAAAATCAAAAAGTTCAAAATTAGACTACGTATCATAGTTAAGAATTGTGGCGTGATCCTGAGAAAAAAAATAAATACAATGTTACAGTAATTAGTATTTTCCGAGAAAAATCCCCGAGAATCCCCTTACAGAACTCTTAATAAACATCTCCAACAAGCAGATACGATCATAAATCTTCTATGTAATTAATATTATTTATAATATATATGTATATATAATTAATTATATATTAAAGTTTATTTGCTACGTAAATGTAGCCTATATTAAGTAAAGGCAAGCCTTAAAGTTATCAAAATGCATTGTATGTACACGGAGGTAATTTTCAAAAAAAATGGCACTCGTAAATTATCAATATATAAAATACGTATAAGGGCTTTTTACATAAAAAATGTTTATTTTTGGTAATCAATCTTTCGTCTAAGAGTATTAATGATTAAATTTTTAACTCATGAATTGAGTGTACATGTCATATTACTCTAAATTTGTAAGAGAAACTAATTTAGTAGACTATGGAATTTCGGATGAGTCCGTATATACAAATCATTTATGATGAATTCTAATTTATTTGGCGGGTGGACGAGGGGGTTTACAAAGTGAAAAGATATGTACGTACGTATATACTGAATACATATATACATATATATATTATATTATATATACGTATTATACAGTATCGGTATATATATATTATATATATATTAATTTTCCCCCCTTAATTATTATTTCACACATTTCACATGTTTCGCTTTAATACTTTATCCTTCTATATTTCATCTAATTTTTCTATACAATATGTTTTCACATAATCAACTTTGCCTATTGTTCGAAAAGATTGGTTTTTCCATGTCGATTCTTGGCTTCATATTTCTCTTTCCGATTGTTCTTGACAGTTAAGAATTTTTTAACATTTAATTTAACTTTTTCAAATAAATTTTTTTTATGTTCTTTTGATTTAACCAAGTTTCTTGATTTCTGTTCTCCTCTTTCTATTTCAGGAATTTCGGGAATTTCAGGACAATGTGAATTATTACTTTTATTATTTTGAGGAGGGATATCAAGCAATAGATTCGTCGAAGGAATTTGACGGTTTCCAGAAGAGTTAGTGCAACTTTTACTTGTTATTTGAGCTTGTGTGATGTTCGTGGAAAGTTCATTACTTGGTACATAGGTATTTAATGTGTTAAATTTTGTGATTAAAGTATTTTTAGCTCGATTATGTGTTTGCGTAAGACGATAAGGTACAAAAGAATACTTTGATCTTGAAGAATTTGACGTTGAATATTTTAATCTTGATACGGTATTTTCAGTGAGTTTATCGTTGACTGAAGTTGTTTCTATTATTTCGATAAATTTTGATGTGACACAATCCGTTGGTTTTAGAGGAACGAACGCGGGAGAACCTTATTTTTAATAATAAAAATAGTAAACTTTCTTTTTCATTTTTTTTTTAAAGGTGTTTATTTTCACGTGTAAAATGTAATAAAAAAAAATAATACCATTTTCTCTATCACAAATTTGTTTTGATGTAGATTCAACTTTAAAATTTTCGTAATTAGTCGTGTCATTAGTTAAATTTTCATTATTTGAATTGTCAACGGTATTTTGTGAATTATTATTATGTGTAGGGTTATGAAATTCTTCATTATCAGATTCATCTAACCAACCAATACCGGAATCAAGACTAGATATAGTTGATAATCTTTTACGAATATTTGAAAGTTTGTTTGAAGTTGACTCTTTTAGTGATTTATAAGATATTTTTGAAGGTTTTTGAATTGAAATTGAAACTTTCGGTTTTTCTTGCATTTTTTTTTTATAAAAACTAAAGTAAAAAAATTAAAAGAAAAAGGAAAATAGAAAAAAAAAAGATTAAAAGAAAGAAAAGAAAAAAAGAAAACAAATAAAAGATTATTAAATAAAAGAAATTAAAAGGAAACAAATAAAATCGGATGATGTTGATTAATATTTATCAGACCCGGGTTCAAAAAAAAAAAAAAAAAAAAAACAAACATCCCACTTTTTAAATAAGTGTTAATTATTATTTTTATTCACGTTTTTAACAATATCATCTGTGTAAATCCCCTCAACAACTTGATATCATTATTATTGATTCTTTTGATAAGTTATTAAATATAAATATATATTTTTTTTTAGTCCTCCGTTCAAATAAAGTTCCAGAATTTGAATCATGCAAAAAATGAAATATTTATTTGTTAAAACAAGCTAACGCTGTAACGTAACCAACACGCCAACTACCTATCACCTTAATAATAAAGCTATTTAAAGATGAGAATGTGAATCAAATTTTTTTTTTTGATAAATGACTTGCTTTAAAAGGTTTGAATTTTTAGATAGTTTTAGTAGTTATTACGATATTTATAGGAATTTTTTACATATCGATATATCGATATACTTGGAATAACCAAATGCAATCATTTCTTAAATTAATTTAATCTATTATTTTAGAAAACAACTTGTCAAATTTTTATGAGTCATACAACAAAAAAAAAAAAAACAGGATTTATCGGTCTTTAGCGTTAACTTTATTAATTCATTTATTACATCAACTATTTCATATAATATCAATCACGTTATTATCGTTATTCAAAGAATTTAATTTTGAATAAAAATTGATTTTCATTATTCCATTCTCTTGTTAATTTTGTTAATTTGAAGTTTGATACTACTCCTTTATGTTTTTTTATTTCAATTTTCAATCTATCCACTATCGTTAAAGTACGTTTTTATAATGTTTCAATAAAGCGAAAAGTAAAAAAAAAAATTACACATTTGGTAAGAGCAAGAAAAAAGGGATTTTTTTGTGTCCCCCCTTGATAAGTCTATTAATAGAATAAATAATAGATTATATCAATCAACCACAATTACAGAATTTGGATCGATGGCACTTCATCACACATGAACCGTCAAAGTTTATTTTTACTTGCTTGATCGTTCTGATTTTTATTAACTTTTGCCCTTAACGTTCAAGTTCAAATGTAAGAAATTGAAAAGGCACGCTCTCCTTATTCCAATCAAGGTATAGTACTTTTCGTAAATGTTTTATGGTTATGTACTACATTTGATTATATTGATTATATTGATTTTATTGACGAATTTGATGTAATTTTTGGTGTTAAACTAGGACAAATTTGGATCTTATTGCTAGTTCATTGCTAGTTCATACTGTACCTGACTTTCTATAACTTACTATATAGATTCGTCGAGCAAATAAAAAAATTATTTCAATTTATTTTACTGAAAAGTTTTAAATATTTAGGAATGAAACTTGATTAAATGTAAAAAACATTTCTTCCTTAATATTAAATGTAAAAAACATTTCTTCCTTAATATTAAATGTAAAAAACATTTCTTCCTTAATATCATCGTAACAATCCCATTTCGGAAATATTAACAAATCCTATCGCTATCGTTATTGTTAAAAAAAATGTTATATATATATATATATATTACTATCAACTTTGAAAAACTTGTAGGTTTTTTTTCATCCATTTTTCTTAACTCTTTCAATAAAAGATCTTCAAATATACGTATTAACGCTAAGAAAAAATTTTATGTAGAAACAATTTTCTGTTGATCCCTGTATACAAACTAAGGTACGTATTACAATTAGATTTTTTTTTTCACTAAACGTTTCACCCTACTGCAATACTATATAAGCTTGAAATTAACTGAAACTAGTTTCACTTGTGATACATACTGGTATGATGCAATATGTAGAAAACTTGAAAAGAAAAAGAATAGAACGAAAATGTAGTAACAATATTTCTAAAATACGTATATAATTATTATATTACTATATATTTACTATTTATGAAAAATAAGTTTTTTGCTAATCTTTGATTATATAAACTAGATTTTTTTTTTGCGATTAACATTAATTAATTATAAAAAAGAAGATCATGTGCCACGAGAATATTCTAAGCTTTATTGTCATTACAAAAGAAGAAACAATCGAAAGATTATGAGAAAAAATAGTGTGGCGTTCTTATATTATATGATTAAAGATATTCCGAATATTATTACAATTATAGCTAAAAGCTTTGATATAATCGCTATCACTACTATACATATACCATCTAATGGTCATAGTTACGTTATTTTACTGTATCAACCTTTATTTGTAATTATATATATAGAATTTGAATCTTTAATTTCTAATTAATTGTTACTTTATCCATATATTTGGTTGTCAAATTTCATACTTTATAAGAACTATATACTGTATTTAAAAAATATATATCGATTATACAGTTAAATTTATGAACTTTGATAATCTTTTAAAAATTACTGTAAATTATATCTAATTTTTATTTGTAATATTTTCTTTAAAAAATCAGAATTAGCCTTGAAAAATAAAAGTATAAAGCAAGTTTTAATGATTTTATAAGTTTAAAGCTAAGTTTTATATACTGTAGTAACTGAAATTTTTAAATTACTGTATTTAAAATTTTTAAATTTTAATATACTATTTTTTCTTTTATATTTTAGACAAATTTGTTTAAAAGTTTAAAAAAATATTTAATATATTACTGTAAAACAGGCTAATAAATCAAAAGTTATTAATAATTTTAAAAATTGAAGTATATACTATTTTATATATATTATATTTAATTATTTAAAGTTAATATTTATTTAAAATTATGTTTTAACTAAAATTAGCTTTTAAAAAAATTTAAAATATAGCACCTATTTAATATTTATTTAATATAAATAAACAAGAGTAATTTAGTAAAGTTAATCTTGCTATTGGGTAAACTTTTTTTAATCCATACAAAATTTTAAATATCTAAGTTATAGAACAATATTATATTTAAAAATAAACTTAATAAAAAAAAACTATATAATAAATTAAATTAGTATAAAAATCATTATTTTGTATATAGTATTAAAAAGTAAAAATTTAATCAATAAAAATAATTTAAAAATTTTTTAAATATTTATTTAAAATTTTTTAAATTTTTTTTTTTTTAAGCCAAAAAAGCTAACTAAAAAAAACTATTATAGTATATCTTTTTTTTTCTCTTTTAAAACAATTACAATTAAATAAAACTCAGCATAAGAAATATTTATTTTAATTAGCTATAATTAAAAAATTGACAATAATTAATAGCTTATTCTAATATTATTATATTGTTATTACTAAAAAGTATAAGTTTTTTTTTCTTTTAAATAAAAAAATTTTTTTTATGTATTTGTATATTTTTATTTATTATTTATTACTATTTTTTAATTACTGTATTATTATAAAAAAAATACAAAACTTTGTTCTCCATTTACTAAAAAGCAAGTTAGCAATATTTAGTAAAATTATATATTAGATAATTTAATTTAAAGTTAATAATAAATTTTTTTATAATTTAACTTTAAAACTAAAAGTGTGATAGCTTAGTAAAATGGTCAAGTTGTCACCTCACCAAGCAGCAGATCTAGTATTCAAATTTTATAGATAACAATTTCAAATATTAGTCTGTATTATAGTTAATAATTATTTGCAATTGGTTAGATTTAAAATCTGTAATTTTAAATAATACTATTTAGAATAGAAAAGAGCTATTATAAGTAATAGACTATAGGCTCTATATCTATGTATAGATGATACAAAAAAATATATTCTAGTAATTATTAAATACAAATCTAAAATAAAATATAAACTATATAAATTTTAGAAAACTAGAATAACTAAAAACCTATTTGGGAAACCCTAAATAAAAAAGTAATAGAGATCTTTAATAATACTGTAGAATAAAACTTGTTATTGTACAAGTTCTAAGATATTTTATAGCAGAACCTTTTAAGATAAAAGGTCAACCAAAGTAGCTGCTGAAAGTCATATTCAAAGAAAAAGATCATATATTATAAAAATATATACTAGAGGTTCAGAGTTCAATAGCATATAAAGCCAAGTATTATTTAGAGCTAATTAATTAGAAATATATTAAGCCAAAAAGAAGAAAAACCAAGCAAAAAAAGGGAAGTAGATATTGAGGTTGATATAAACTCTTTAAGAGTAGAGAATATATATAGCTTAGACAACTAGGTTCACTAATATATAAATTAAACTATAGTATAGAGGCCTGTATTGGGTTTCAAAGCCCGGCTTGGCCCAGGCCCACCCTGCCCGATATGCGGGCCTGGGCAAATCTAAAAAAAAATTTTATAATTGCGGGCCAGGCCGGGCCGAAATTTTGAAAAAAATTTATATTAAAAATTTGCAGGCTGGGCCAAAATGGGCTGGGCTTAACAAAAAATTTTTAACTGTGGGCGGGCCCGGGCTGGCAAAAAATTTGTAACCCTAATTGCAGGCCGGGCCTGGGCCTTAAAATTAGGAATTTGCAGGCCTCTACTATAGTACAATATTTCTGATATCTAATTTGAAAATATATAGTATATAAAAAAGTTAGGTGAATATTGGGTACTACACTTAATCAAAAAAAAAATTAGTATCAATACTGAATATAAAAGTACTAGAGTTTTATAATATGTTGGATATAGAGATGTAGTGACTTAGTATAGTAGTCTAGTCATTACTCTTTTCAAATAGCAAGTCTAAAGTTTAAATTTTATAGATAACGATTTTGAAAAATAGGCTTGCATTAGACAGTTATTAATTATCAGTTAAATCTAAAATCAAATTTGTAATCTTTGGTTACATCATCTAGTAATAAGAGCTTCAGTACAATAAATTTAGGAAACTAAAATAATTAAAAACCTGTTTGGGAAGTCCCAAGTTGAGATATAATAGTGATTTTTGATAGTATTACAGAAAGGCTGAATTTAAACCAGAA